CTCTGCCCATGCATCTCTGATTCCTCTGTCTCTGCCCACCCCTGTCTCTGTTGCTTCTTCCCCAGCCAGGCCAGACGGTGGCCAGAGCGGGCACCTGGAGGGTGGGCCAGGGAGGGAGTCAGAACAGAACCAAACCGGCAGGTTTTGCTGACCCGTGTACTTTCCAAGGGCCCTGGCACCTGCCTCAAGCTAGCAAACACAGCAGGACAGCCCAATGAGAGAGGGGCTGAGAAGTGCACAGGAAGCCCTAACGTGCTGGGTACCTGGGAGTGGGGGTTGGACCAGGATCTCCTGACAATTCCATGCCAAGAAATCCCTAATTACATTTGAATGTGTCCTGTGGCAGAGGTCACTACCTCCCAAGAAAGGGACTCTTGGGGCTGCCTGGAATGGTTCGTGTCTCCCACCAGGACAAGTTGGTCCGAGATTTGAAAGCCAGGCCCACAGCTCACCTGGCGCGCCCTCCCTTCGCCAGCATCTCTCTTCCAGCAGCCAGCTGGCCCTGAAGGCAGGAGGATCGGTGGAAGAGCAGAGCAGAGAGCTGATGTCAACCAATCCAATTCCAGCCTAGAATTCTCTTACTTGCTCCAGAACAGACTGTAGGCCAGCATCTTGCCTATATTATCTCTCAACAAAGCCATGGTACAGGAGAGAACACGGAGGCCCAGAGAGAGCACGTGGTTATCAGTGAGGCTGGAGTCAGAACTGAGATCTCTTACCAGAAGCCAAGAATGTCTGTCTATTTATTTTGATTTCTGCTTGTATTTTTGCCAACCGGGTATGATTTCTCTGTTTACAGGAGTGATATAAAATTTCCTTTTTGAAATTAAGTCTGTGTTTTTAGAAAGTGCATTGAAAATATCAGATACATATTCTTTTTTTTTTACCCACCCGCGCCCCCCCCCCCTTCGTGTGTTGGGCGATTATATGACAATGTCGGTGGAGGTGGTGAATGAATGAAGTTCAGGAAGTACCTTGCACTATAGGAAGTTGTGTGGGAAAGCACCCAGCTCAGGGCCCGAAACACGGGAGGGGCCATGTGCAAGCTCACAAGGAAGGGTTTAGGGACAGGAGAAGGCCTGCGATATGTCACCATTGATGAGGCAGGGTTGAGTCCCAGGCGCAGAGTGGCTGCCTGCTGTAGCCTGGGCAAAGGCTGGGAAGCTGGGCCAGCAGGCTGTTGGGCACCTCACTCCACCTACCAGGGGCCCCTAGCACCTGTCCCTGACTTCTGATCTCTTTAATGCCATGGAGAATGGGTCCTTTGGGTTGGTCCTTAGCCCCACTGTTTCCGGACAACTGTCCCCTAGGTAGCCTCACCTTGGGAGTTATCAGGAAGAAGGACCACTGCTTGCTCCCCTTCCCCTGTCTGCTCCTAGGCACTGCCTCCCAAGGAGAGTTCAGTGGAGATGGAGGGGCCGGCACCTCCCCTGGTCCCTAAGTGTCACCCCTCCTGGTGCACTCAGCAGAGGAGGGAGGTCTACAAAAATTAGGAGCCTGGAGAGCAGGGCAAGATAGTTGTCCCGTCTGGGGCCAGGTGCTCCTTGGTGATTAGACTAACCCGTCTCCAAACCCAGCCCCAATCACAGGACCCCTCAAAGGTAGAAAGTGGTTCATTGCGTTAGCGTATTTCCCTTGTTGCGGGGTTCCCTTCCCTCGTGGAGAGAAACAAATTGGACTGCTTGGCCTCCACGCTCCCTCTGCTTAGAGAGCTGATCATCTTATTTGAACCTCGCAATAGTTTGTAAAGTGGGCAGGGCTGGCATGTATAATCCCCATCAGAGATGAGACAGCTGAGGGTCAGACAGAGTATTTACGGAAAAGTCAGGGTCAGAGCTGGGGTGGGAAGGCAGAGCTTCCAGCCCAGCCCAGGGCTTTTCTACTTATTCCACTACTCTACATTTATTCATGGACTACTGCCTTATACAAGACCTGAAGTTCATGAGGCATTACAAGCTGTTAGCGATGTGGAGGCAGAGACCCCAAGAATTGCTGGGTTTGCTGTTGCTGAGGGCAGACGCCCCGGTCAATCATTTCTACACGTATGATCAGTGACACTGATGACGTGGCTTCAACGTATGCAAACATGTCAGCACTTTTCTCTCCTGTTCACATGAGCTCACTGCCCTCCCTAAGTTTCCTGTGTAATCTTTAGAGCTACTGCTGTTGACTGGACTTCAGATAGCTAGTTCTTTAAGAGAGTGCAATGCTCAGAGCAGACCCGCTGTACTACTGAAGTCATCCATTGTGATTGCAAGAGGCAATCTGGGATGTGTGGGGTTTAAGGTTTAAAGATGGTCTCAGAACGATAGCTTGGGGGAGGGGAGTTGTCCAGTTTTCATGACTCTAATGAGAATTTGAAATGTTCTGCCCCCCCCCCTTTGATCTGCCTTATCTTTGATCAGAGGATTCTCCTTAATGACTGGTTCCAGTTCTCCTGGCCTCATGGTCCAAGGAGACAACTAGCCACACACTTTACTTCCTCCTCCTCCTCCTTCTCCCTTTGATGCTCCTGGGAAATAGAGACCCGTTGCTGTGTCTTAGGTGGCCACTTACAAGTCTTTAAGACTTCAGGCACTCCACAGCAAATTAGGAGACAGGAGCTTGAGGGTTTTAATTCTCACATCCAATGGCCACTGAGGACCCTTCTTTAGGGAAAGGATGCTGCAGCGGAGAGCATGCCAGCACCTTAGTGATCAGGAATTAAGGAGAAAGGACAGAGCCAGGGGCCTCAGAGTCCGAAGCCTG